AACCCCTCCTCCAGTGCTTCTCTAGGAAGCATGTTGTCCTAACTGTAGTGCCCAGTTGAGACAAAGTTTGTCTCTTAGACTTTTTATTAATTCCTCCCTATAAGTTAACATTGATTTTGACTGTCTGTCTCTTCTTGAGTAATACATTTCATAACAAAACCAAGAAGGTCTGAGATTTTGGTAGATGGCGGTAGACTGGTAGATGTTATAGGACTAAACCACCTTCTACATCCTTACATCCTCTGGAACTCTTTACCCCAACCTGTCCGTCTCTCTCACCCTCTGACTGTCTTTAGGCGATCCCTTAAGACTCATCTCTTCAGGGAAGCCTATCCCACCTCAAACTAACCACTCAACCATCATGTTCTCAAACAATTCATCCCCACACAGCTACCTCCTCATGTATAACTCCCCCCCTCCCTTTTAGATTGTAAGCCCTCAGGTGCAGGCCCTCCTTACCATCTTGTCTTGAATGGTATTGTGATTATAATGTCTTCCTTATGTTGTAAAGCGCTGTGCAAACTATTGGCGCTATATAAATCCTGTGTAATAATAATACAGCTTCTACTATTTCCCAAGAGTTCTGGAAATTGAATCTTAGCACTGATGATCTCAGGTCTGCACTCTTTTTCTTGTTGGATTTCCAGTTTATTCTTATTATGGAGAACACAACAGAATGGATGGGAACCCTCAGTACTCCAGGATTAGCAGGAATCTATGGTGAGTTTATGTTCATCTATACTAAAAATAATACTTTGGTGTGTGTATAGCATAGACTCAGTATACACTCAGTTCATCTATACTAAAAATAATACTTTAGTGTGGAAGGACTGTTATGTCAAATAAATAAACACTTGGGATGTTTGCACATGAACTCAAAGCAAAGCAGCTTTCAATGGGCTGGCAAGCTGTCCTATGTCACTCTATCAGCCATAAACTCATACATAAGGAACATGTCGTATGTAAGGAGATATAATGGGATGATATGTAGGATAAGAATCTTGTGTCTTTGTATCAAACTGGGATTGAGGACAAGTATAATTCATGAAGAGATATTGCTACGCAGGTCCAATACTCACTGATGCATTTTCCTTCATACGCCAGCCCGATAGATCTGCCTAGCAGGCAGGTGGCCTTCCTCAAGTGACACGCACTGGCATAGGTGATGCCATCATTGCCGCACAGGTACTGGTCCGGTGAGGTGGGTTCCGGGCAGTTGAGGTGGCACATCACACAATATGCATTATTGGTCTGATCCACCACACACGTGGACGTCCCGGGACATAAGACGTCTCTGCAGGTCTCTGAAACAAACACAGGGGGAGACAGTGATCAGTGAGAGCTCCACTGATAGGCTTCACACCAGAACATTGATGGATCGGATACTGATTAGAGATGCCATTGCAGGGTATTTATATTAATATACATTCCTCTAAGGATGTTTCTTGATGCCCACATGGCGTAGTATCACGTTATGGAAGATCTGGGACTGGCACGTACTTTTACATTTGCCTTGGTACTGCACATCCAGCTCGGGCACTCCTTTACATTTGGCCTTGAGCAGGGCGCACTCGTCCTTGTAGGTTTTGCCATCCAGGCCGCAGACGGGGCCCTTCCAGGTGATGTTGGAGCAATCCGGGGCGCACACACAGCGCGGCTTGTTCTTCTTATTCATCTTACACTTCTTTCCGGGACCGCAGTCCACATTCTCACACGTCTCTAGAAAGGACACACAACATTAGCTTGGAGCGGTCTTTACTCTCTAATGGCAAAACAAAATATTCCTTCCAAACTCCAGAAATACATCAGTGTATACTGAACCTATGTGCATGATATGAAAGCTATCTATCTATCTATCTATCTATCTATCTATCTATCTATCTATCTATCTATCTATCTCTCTCTCTATCTATCTATCTATCTCTAATCCATCTATCTATCTATCCATCTCTAATCTATCTATCTACCTATCTATCTATCTATCTATCTATCTATCTATCTATCTATCTATCTCTAATCTATCTATCTATCTATCTATCTATCTATCTATCTATCTATCTATCTATCTATCTATCTATCTATCTCTAATTTATCTATCTATCTATCTATCTATCTATCTATCTATCTATCTATCTGTAATCTATCTGTCTATCTATGTAATATCTATCTATCTATCTATCTATCTATCTATCTATCTATCTATCTATCTATCTATCTATCTATCTGTATGTTTTAGTAAATTTGAAATAATAAATAAATTATAAGCACATTCATGTATAGTTCAAAATATATATATATATAAAATGTATGTAAATGTATGTAATATATGTGTACTGCGTATCATTTCTGTGTATATCTAGGTTCTGTGTAAGTGTATATTTGGGTGTGATTGGGTAATACAGAAAAGCTTATTCCCTAATGACTGTGGTTAGATCTGTGGGAACCAAATCCTTCCCCCACCCCAACCCAATAATGTACAGACACTAACTACCGTTATTTAACCCATCACACGTTACATAGATGTACACGCATGTGCACTTTGAACCCATTACCATCCTATTACCAGTCCTGGCTGAGGGGGTGACCTACCTTTGCAGGGGAGGCAGTGAGGGGCCCCTCCGTTGAAGATCATCCATTTGAAGAGGGTGCTGTTGGGGACATCTTCCTCCGTCCACGAGGTGCCCAGCCTGCCAGTCTTGCAGCATTCCTCCTTGGTCAGGTCCGTCCTGTAGAGAACCTGGCAGCGGCCGTTCTTGGATTGCTGAAGCCAGCAGTTCCCAGCTGGAAGACACACAGCAGCGCCCGGGCGCAGCGTCAGTGAGCAGCAGCGCAGCAGACACAACACGTGCGCTCCTCTCACTTCCACTACACTGTTTACTCCAATTTGTCCTCTTTCCTAAACCCCCTCCATGCAGTCACAGCCGCCGGGATTAACCCCTTGTGCCCACCAGCCACCCACACTTCCCCGCTGCACTTCCCTTGCGTCAATTTGGAGGTCACTCTCCCTGTCACTATGTTGCAATCTGAGTGGGCTCGGAAGGCTGTACATTCTTTCTATCCTGCAGCCTGGCTGGATACTTTACAAAGTAACTTCAATCAATAAAAGAAAAAAAAAAGCTGACACACTAGAAAATCAACAGCGTTCGGAGCGCTAGCTCACGCTGGATACATAAGGACTTGCTTAGGGATGGAAAGAAAAAGACAAACTTTTTTGGGGGTGATCTCCCAGAGCAGCTCAGACTGCAAAGCAAACTTTCCACACTTGGCCCAGATATAAAACAATAAAAAAAAAAAAAAAATAGAAAATAAATCCACACCAACGTCCTGCCAACGCACACCATGGCTTTCCTGTACCTGAAAGTTTTCTGCTTCTTCAAGTAACAAGTGAAATCCCTTTTCTCCTGGCTTCCATCCCACCCAGAGGAAGAAAAAAAAATGCCTTGCTGGTCTTACCCTGAACTGTGTGATCTTCCATGTAATGACACAGGCAGATAGTGAGCAGTACAAGCAAGCCCGGGCGGATTCTCTGATTTAACATCCTTAGTGGCACACAGACGCTCGGGGGAAGCCGGAGAGACGCGCTCGGTGGAACGGACGCGCTGGGATCGCTCTATTGAATGAACGTCAGGCTATGCAGTCTCTCTTTAAATCTATAAGGGGGTCTTAGCTGTGTGCGGTGGGCGGTCTCCCGATGTGTGTCTCAGTGTTTGGGGGGTGGAGATCCTTCTTTCTTCCCCCTTCTTTTTTTTTTTTCTTCTTTTCCTTTCTGAGAGTTTCAGTCAATCAGGTGACACGGTTTTACCTTCAGCCCCGTGCGCATCACCGGCGGCGGACCTTTAAATGCCAAGAGGCAGCGCGCAGTCAGCGCACAACCTGCGCTGGCGGATCCCACACACAACAAGGGGTGATCCCCGACTTTCTGTACCACCCCGACTCCTCTCAGCCTTCAACTTCTCCAATAAAAGAACAAAACTTTA